TATCATTAATAATTAATTAAAACTTTCTCGTCTAAGACACATTCTGAAAAATACTATATAGCTACTGGTGATAAGTGTCGGAAAATTTAAATTTCGCGCATTCGCATTTCCGATATGTCCGCCATCAGAGGCCACTTTTTTGGTCTCCTTTTCATAAGGATTAGATTCCCTCTTTGCTCGATGGGCTCTAGACACTAGTTAACTTAACCCAAGGTTAGTAAAAGACAGGTTGCATGGTAACTATGATATTGACAGAATGAAATATGTCACCGTGACGTCACACAAGGGGTCAATTTTACGAATTGATTCAGAACAGAATAGGATAAGTGGTTTGGAGAACATATTTTGTTGTTAAATATCGTTAGTGTTTTTGTTTATGTTTATATTTTAAGATATAATGGGTCTATAGATATCATTGAGTGTTTTTTAGTATATAACTTGAACCTAAAACTGTTATACAAGTACATTTAGTGTGGTTGCGTTAAATACCTACTTAATGGAATTATTTCTGCTGTATTATATAGTAAAGGTAACATTGGCATTAATATAGGAAAATGTTTAACATAAACTAATTCAAATATTTTCTATTCATTTAAACGACTGGTGGAAATATTTGCAGGGTAGCAATCTGCAAACATAATTCAAATAAGTCCAAACAGGATAGAAGGAATTAATGTAATGATTTTTGCATTTCCAAAAAATGTAAAAATTCAAAAGCAAAGAAATTTCCCATAAAAGATTATGAGCTATTTAGAAGTTAAACTATTAAACATACAACCTTAAAGCTGAAAAAAGATGGTGTTAATTAATTTGACTTTGAGTTGTGATTCGAGTTTTACAAAATAAAACAGTTTTACAAACAAATATCATTAATAATAACTTCATGTACCTAGTTATAATTAAATCTTTTAATTTTAGCAATTCTCTTGTTAATTATACTGCCGAATGGAGATGGCGTAAAAGAAATAAGTATGAGATCAAAGAGCATGACCAGAAAAGAAAACATAGATTTTGCTGGACATATACTTCTAGAGAATACAATACTAATAAAGAGGAGCAGATAAAAATAATACTCATGAATACTTCTACCCAACATTTTAATTTACCAGAAAAACCTTCATATAATAAAAAACAGAATTAGATTTACTTAAAAAAGAATTAAGGAACATGGAAGAAGAAAACGTGAAATTTCAACAGAAACTTCTAGAAAAATAAGATACTGAAGATAATATTAAATTATAGATTAAAGATCTTGGGACAACTAAACTGGGAAGCGAAACTGAATTTGAGGAAAAAGCAAAACATATTTTGAAAGACTTTTTAACTCCTAATCAACTACAAATATCATTAAAAAGAAACAAAGGCTCGCCAGCCTCAAAAAGAATTATCAAGGGCTTTTAACCTAAGGTACTTTAGTACACTAAAGTACGGTTTGCACTATATTCATTATCCCCAATTCAAAAGTATGTACTCAAAATAATTTAAACAAATCAATTGTATTCAAACATAGTATAATTTGCATGCTTTATGCATATGTACCGTTCCCGTCATAAAAAACTGGTACAACTCTTATAATCAAAAATCGTGTTTTTTTAGTTGTGTACGTTGAGCTTGTCACATGTGTCATTCTGATTTCTAGGGCACCGTTGCCAGTTCAACGAAAATATTATATAAAACCAGTTAAAAGCAAGGTTGTGTGACAGACCACCAGTTTTGAGTATACTAAACACTAAAACATGATCGAGCATTCTCGATCAGTCAGTCACATTAAATTTGTTTAAACATGCATCCTAAAAAATTCTCATATTAATTTTGTAATTTTCCATTATCTCAATTAAGTACCCATACGTTGATTTGTGTGTTATAACAATTTATGAAAATATTTCAATTCAAAAATAATGACAGATAATCAATCTAGACAAACTTCAAATTATTATAATAAAACATTACCACAGAATAATAAACAATCAGAATGTCCACTCTCAGATGCCGCCTTTGAAGTTTTTCAGCACGCGCGCTATGTTTTAGAAGGAAACACATAACAGAGACATATGATTTTTGAGGTTATGTAATTGTTTATATTTATGTTTAATTATATTATATTTATGTTATTATATTTAACAATGTTAATTGTTAAATGGTAAACAATGGTAATTGTATAGTATGTCTATGATTGCCGTATGTCAAATAAACCGGGTTAATTTTTCTATGTACACCACATAAACAACACTGGTTCCCTCTAAAACATGGCGGAACGTCTGCGGGAAGGAGATGCGCGTACTTAATTTTCCATGGAGAGTGGGCATTCTGATTGTTTATTATTCTGTGACATTACAATGAGATATGGATTGTAACTGTTACGTTGTGAAAAGCGTTTTTTTCGCACCGAATATTTTGTAGTATATAATACGTAGGATAAAGTATATTAGTTTTTTACGTTTTTTATCGTTCTTGTAATAAATAATAAATTAATCTGTTTGCTTGTTACAAAACTTATTGACACAGAATACAGTTCGAGTTCAGTAGGTAATTGAAGTATAAAATTACAGTAGATGCATTCCAATGTTCCCTGTGCCAATACCCTAGGTTTAAAGATCTTTCAAACCTTTTGGATAATAACTTAACTCTATCTCTGCTTAATAAATTTTTAAATTCAGTTTTTTTGGTAATTATAAAAATAATACCTATCTAAAAATTTTATACATTTTGAATGTTACTTTTTATTTAGATTTAGTGCAATTCCGTTATCTGTATTGGCAACAACGAATTGATTTCTGAACAGAGGTTTACATTGGGAAAAAAAAGTGTACCAGTTTTATATGACGGGAAGTGTACATATACAGAAGAAAGAACCTACTTTTAATTTAATTTAGTTGTAGAGCTATTCGACTACATATATTTAGTTGCAATTAATATTCTGCTATTTCTATACTCTGTAGGTATCTCCCACATTTTTTAAAGATTGAATGAAATATATAGTCATTAATATTCCAAACCTATTTTTTTTAATATACATAGAATAATATATCTTCAATCATTGCTGCTTTTCGAGTTTATATCATTTAGTTCACTTAAAGTGAATGATTTTGAATGTAGCATTCTCAGTGACGTCATTCCCGCCATTGGATTCTCGACGCTGATTGGTGTAAAGTTACCAGACAACCTGTCTATTTACTAACCTTGGGTCAAACCCCCACCTAACGTGACTGGTAGCTCCGTTGCCAGTACGAACGGCTGGGCCTAGACAATTCACTCTCTCCATTTGTCGGTATACCAGTTACACTACTATTTGTGGTATATACTGTGCCCCTATATCTGTCAGTTGTTGGCACTTTCACCTTTTCACCACAGAATGAAAATAATAATTGTTATAACATGCTGTCAGATTTGAATCGCGAATCAGAAATAGTGAGCATTGTCACAGAATAATAAACAATTTATTCATTGTTAAATTGTTATTAAATAGAATAATAAACAATTGTTTATGGTTGAGTTTGCCGAAAGTACAAGCTGATTATAGCTGTAAACGTAAAAGTCAAACATGGAACAAAATATTTCGGTAAAGCAGTGTTGGCATGTTTTTATTATGTAGATGCTTTATAGATAAAGCTTTAATTAGAAAAGTACATTTTGTTTATATTATGTTATGAATTCTGCAAATTTTGATTTATAGAAAACAACAATGAGTAAATATTTGTTTCGGTGGAGAATAATTGCAGTTAATTATTAAAAATCTTTTTAGCAATTACTCTTTGATAGATTAGGGGATAGATTATGGATAGATTTGGCAATCATCAAATCAGCATTGCCAGATTACAATAGATGTTTGCAATCAATCTCATATCTACTCGTTATTTCTTCATATAAATTAAAAATTGCAGAATTCGTAAAATAGTATATTCAAAATGTACTTTTTAAAAGTTTTCTATATATTTGAAGTATACAACATATGCATTATATAAACATGCCAACACTGCCAAAAAATATTTTTGACATTTGCGACTATATTAAGCTTGTACTTTCGAGTAAATTTCAGTATAAATAATAAATTTAAAAAGTTTTGTTTTATAAAAATTAAAAAATTGCAGAATTAATAAAAATGTACTTTTTTAAAGCTTTCTCTCTACACGTTTGGACCTTACAACTATACATTCTAAGGACATGGTAACACTGCCAATCGCACAAATTTCGTTCTGTGGAAGTTCTTCGTAGCTATCTTCACTGCAGCTATACTGGATGATGCTTGTTTTTACAAATTTTAGTGGAAATTATGTAATTTAAAAAGTATAATATGACTCTTTTCTTGAGATAATACGAATACGTATGAGGTGAACATGTTATGCCGATGGAACAAAATAAAAAAGTTAGAAAAACGCTTTTTGAGAGACTCGTCCCATTGGTCAGAGAAGCGGGAAATCCAAAACAATGTTCCTTGATATCATTGATGCAGACACGGGAAATTATGGCATAGACACAGTATGTTGCTTAATTCTTTTAGCAATATACTGAGCCATAGATAAATAATATGGCATAGACAGACAAGAGGGTTAGGGCTTAGGGCAGAGGAACAACTGGAGCCAAATTCTTGAGGAGGCTGGGGCTAGAGCCCACATAGGGTCGTAAAGTCAGAATGCCAATTGCTAAATGTTAAATAGCTTACTTAATTAATATCCATATTAATCGGATTTTCATAGAAGCTTTATAGTACACAAAACTAAAAGTTTTGACTGTTTCAATATTCGTCATATTGACAATATTTCCTGGTTTGTTACTCTGCGAAAAATACTAAATTTAGTTTTAATAATTCCCTTCATTACACAAATTTCACATGTTTGTTCCCTTAAATATATTTATTTAAGATAATCATAAACAAATATATTCTTGAAAAATTCTTTGTTCAGTGACAAGCTTCAGAGCAATATCCAAACAATTGTAATGTTGCCGTGTGGTTTGGGAGTATGTTTGAATTTTTGTTTATAAATTCCGATTGCAATTGTTATTTTTTTATGAATAATTAATTTTGTATTGTCATTGTAAGTTTTGAAAAGCAATGTTATAAAATTTATTTTAGCCAGCCTTTCGTGGTATGTTAAATATTTTTCTATTTAATTTTAGCGCCCTAAACGTAGCTTCCGCTAGCGCACGCAGGTTCCCCTCCAACACACCTAACCGCACGTGCGAAATGCATTTTTCTGTTCGGACATAAACCTAATTTATTTTCAATTTATAATCGAAGCTAACCGGTGTACAGAACACAATCCATAGATTTATTTTCTAGTCTTTTCTACTGATCGGATAGTCTGAAGATTTTAATATTGTGGTAAGGATTATTGATCTTTTTTAAATAATATAGTAATGAGATTCTGTGGACTGGGTGGGGCATCATAGAGCTGGTAAATTGGTGGCCACGTGTTTGATGTTTGTTAAATTTTGACAATCCGCCCGGTATTAACTCTTGAATATTAAAATCTTACAGATTACCAATAATTTTTAACTTTAATACGAAGATAGAAGGCAGGTATTATTGAATATTTATTTTCTAATCAGTCTTCATTTTTATACCGTCAGGACAGAGTGGGATATAGGAAGGTAACTATTTAATCTTCCGGAGGAGGAATGTAATGGGCGCAGCTATCTTCAAAGTTCTATTATTTCTTATTTTTATCTCAAAATATTTAGGCTTATGCTTTTTTCTACACCTTAGTTTTATTACCGGCACGGGAATCAAAGCCGCAATGTATATTGGAAAAAATATTCCTTACTGTCTTAGTTATCTTTTAATGTTCCTAGTTTCAAAATATATGCAGATATAAAAATTGATTTCAAAAGTAAAATTTGGATATTACAGAAACTTAATTGGTAAAAGTGTTATAATTGTAAACAATAATTAAAGGCTTATTTTTTTCTTATTCAAATCTTAATAGTTCACCTAGTAGTACCCATAATTTCAATAATGCATACTACTTTTTTATAGATAATAAATAATTTAGAATGGTGCAGAAAGAGAGTGCAAACTCTGGAGACGAAAGGGAGAGTTCAGTGCCAGTTGTACCTGAAAATCCAGCAAAGGGTATTCCTACTGGAAAATACAGACTTGTAGGATGGGGTATAGATACTACTGGCCGCAGACTCATTGATGAAATTATTCAAATAGCTGCGTTTACACCTGAATCACAGTTTTCGCAGTACATAATGCCATTTGGAGATTTGAATCCTATTTATAGCAGAAGACACGGTATAAGAGTAGTAAACACAATCCGCTACAGAAGGTTGAAAGATGTCAACACCCAGGAATTCTTGAAGACCAAAAGTGAAATTTCTGCACTCCAGGACTTCTTGAAATGGTTGGAGACTGTTAAAGGAAATGATGTTGATGGAATTATCTTGATTTATTATGAACTTCGCAAAGCATCACCTGGGATGCTTTTAGAATCATTAAGAAGATATAATATGATTGAAAGGTAAAACATGTTTAACAATTCAGTTCTTATCAATTTTTTTATTTACAAACAAAAAGTTGATAATTTTTTAAACTAGTTTTAGTATTTAGACATTAAGTTAATTGTTTTACTTTTTGTACAATCTGTGTCTTTATGAATTATTTTTTATCCTGTATATAATTACTTTAGCCATTACTAAAAAAATATATGGTACACTGTTTCTATAGTAGATTTCTACTATATTTTTTATCATTCCAAGCACAGCCATTGTATCTTTATTTTTTTTTCTGAAAACTGCAGCTAATTTGATTGTCATACACCTTTAGTTTAGTTGTGATACCCATTCCAGAATTCTGGAACCCTGTACCAACTTGTATAGGTCAAGCGGATGAACACCATATATTTTTGGTGTTATTGGTAGTCTCACACCTACAATATAGTGTCTGGAACTTAATGCAAATACATAGTTGACTGTTTGTGGGCTTCTGCTACAGAGTCTGTGGCTCAAGTTCTCTACGAAACAGCCCTATTGTATCGGATGTCATCTTTGATAATTAAAAACAGTGATGTTTAAGTTACAAAAAGAATTGATCACATGGCAATGTAAGAATCCACTGGTGTTGATAGTGCTTAGCCAAATTCGTAAGGTCTATGTTCTTCGTCATTTTTAATGAAATTACTTGAAAATATTCAAAATGATTTTACTGTTTTATCTCTGTTCAATTCACAAATTATGTTGAAATATTAATTAGATATTCAACAGAATTGTTTACATGTATTACTCTTTCAGGTTCGAGAAAGTGGTAAAAGGCTTTGCTAATGGCTTCAACATAGCCCAAGCGAAATGTGGCAACACCACTAAATCTTTCAATCTCCATATAATGTCGAAGGTATTGTTAAACAGGGGTGCAGAGCACTTCAACAGTGCAGTAGACAGAGCTAAAGCTTCATTTGATATTGCTGCTCATTTAGCTCAAGGGGAAAGAGAAGAATTAAAGGGGGAGGCAGCCAGTAAAGACTGTATTGGAACAGAAACTCATCTCATGGAAGTGGTATGTCCTTACGTCAATCCTATAGATGCTGAGGAACAGGAAATAGCTGTTTTTAAGGTAAAATTTTCTTTTTTTTATCCTACTCAATTTATTATGTTTATTCACTTTTGTAGTGACACAAGTAAAAGTTTATGTAAATTGTAAAATGAACATACCATGCTTCTGTGATTTAATTCTGATAGAGCTACGTAAGATATCAAAGAAAATAAATAATCAACCTATATAAGCATTGCCTCAACTCATTTAAAGTCAAAAACTCACAATTTAGCGAAGTGTCACTATTATTTTCCTAATTATTAAAACAGTTGTTATTAATTAGAGACAAAATTCATTTTCTACTTCAATTTTATTAACTTTTTTGTTTATGGAGGAGATAGTAGACAAATCAGAATATATATGAGGGAAAAGTTGGTGATAATTTGAGATCTTGACGTAGTTATATGTCTCGACTATTTTCAGTCACAAAATGAGTTAGCTTCACACAAAATTCCAGTAGGATCAACAAAATGAGGTTTACCCTTACAGTTATGATATTTTTGATAAATTTGTACTATATTTTTTTGCATATGCCTTCAATTCTTCTTTGAGAATTATTTAAAACTTTGTTATAAATTTTCTTTTCATATGAGTAGTCATAGCAATCAGAGTGACTGATAATGTTATTTTCAAGTTGTCTGATAAAAACGTGTTTGCATAAAATTGATACAAACTTTATCTAATGGTGTGGAAAAATTCTAGGAATATTTTTCACTTTAATTACTTTAATCGTAGAATCAGAAATTTTATCTGGTACCATACTTATTTACATATACATACAAGCACTTTTATGCTTAAAAGACAAGTTTGTTTATTTCTAGCTTATCAACATATATATTTTGTTTGACTTACTACCAAAATAAGCTAACTATACTTTTTAAACTTTTGGGGAATCTGTTTTAAACTTTTAAGTTGAAATGAAAAATCGTCTGGATTTAAAAATTATTTAATGATTGAAAAATAATTAAGTAATAAACAAAATTTAAAAAAAATGTATGAAAAATATTTTTTTTGTGGCATTTATCTGGTTTTGGGCTGTACAAAGTTAGTCATCTGTCAGGTCACTTTAAATATCACTGTCCTCAATATCAAACATCTGGGATGAATCCTAATTGGCAGAGCTTTAATAGATCGTGTTTTTTTTTAACTGATTAGCCTAGATTCGGAGTACAACTTTTTTTTAAGATTATTTCTTTGTAGTCAGAATGTGTACAACATAATGCCTCCTTTTTCAATAGTTTTCAAAGTAACATACTTTTCAATAGCACTAGGCATGCTATCATCTACCTCCATATAGCTATGTCCTCTATGCTTGAGAAATTTCTGTTCTGTCACAGATAAGTTGTGATTTGTTTGTACTAAACACATAAGCAAGACAGTAATAATCTGATTGCGATTCTGTCTGCTGCATGTGTTTTCTAATGAGCTGTTAATTCATGTACAAAGATTATCTTTGTCTTTTATTGAATGATCGGAATCATCTAAAATCATTGCAAAATCATTAACTCTTCCTTTTTCGAGTCTATATTGGCGAAAATTTAGACATACTTGTATTCTAAATGGAGATAATGCAAGTTTCCTCTTTGTTCTGATTGAATGAATCTTTGTCGATAACATCCAATCTGTGTATTCACCAAATAACGACCTTCACATACCTATCCATCCATTAAATAGCAACTTTAGTACAAATATTTGTCCTTTTAAGATTACCATGACTCATATATTTTTAATGGCATAAATGAGGTGTCCAATAAGCTTACTGCTGGTCCAGGAGTGCCTAATTTTTTATTAAAAAAGTGTGTCTGTACCCTTGTAATACCATTTGTTATGTTGTTAATAGATTCATGGTAACCTCTGTGTTTCCTTCTCATGAAAGCACTCCTTTCCTATATTTAAAGTGTCACAAATATTGAATTATTGTAGCATCGACCTAGCCTTCCTAAGGATCCAATGATCTCTAGGATCACTATCTGTGATTGCAGTCCCACCGGCATAAAGCCATATTGTTCAGGAATAATTAAACTTTTAATTGGAAAAAATATTTTTGAAGCAATAATTGACTCAAAAATCTTTGCAAAAATAGAAATTTTGGAATTGGGTCTGTAATTTTCTATACATGTTTTATTACAATTCTTAATAGTAGGAGAAATATGACTATTTTTCCACTCTTCTGGGAAAATGTCAGTACTTAATGAAAAACGAAAAAATTTTGTAATACAGGAGACAGAACAAAAACGATATTTATGTACAAAATAAGGTGAAATTAAACTAATTGTTTTTATATAATCAAAGCTTGGAATATCACAGTTATTTTTATCTACATATGACTTAGAGAAAGGCTGTTTAAAAAAATTTGAAATTTCTGATGGATTGTTTGACTCATTGTTGTAATAGGTCATGTTGTTTGGTAAGTCATAATGTTTATTTTTACTGTGTGTTTATTTTTACAGAATTCTTTGGAATTAGTCATGTTTTGTTCCAAAGTTTTTATGGTTGACTTTTCATGTACTAGATTGCTTCTCGAATTTCTGGAATATTTATGGCAAAATATTTTTTGTTGATTTTTATGAGCTACTTTTTTTCTCAGAATAGCATTTTTCAGTTCAGTTGAATATGATTTTGGAAATTTTGGTTTTTTCACATTTTTGTCTTGGTACAAATAAATCTATGCAACAGTACAAAATATCATAAAACAGGATATTGCTTTATTATCATCTGAAATATTGTTGAGTAAGTTGTCCCAGTTTGCATTACCTACAAATTAGTTTATAAAAATATAATTAGCCCTATTAAAATCATAATAATAATAATTGTATTCAAGGAACTCAGTTTTATCACAATCAATAGAGAAAGAAAGTGCTGGATGGTACTTATCACAGTTTAACAAAGGAAAATCAACACATTTGACATTTACAACATTATTTGACAATATTAGATCTAAATTACCTCCTAAAACATTCAATATTGTATTATTTTGAAATAAGTTAAAATAAGCAATAAAATTTGACAGACACTCAACAGATTATGTAATATTACCAACTGGTCTTGATCCTAGATCTTCATTCATCCAAACTATGGTAGATTAAAATCACCTATTATATAGGACATTGAAAAGTGAACATTGAATATCTTCAGTTGCCATAATAAAGTCCTCATAAATGCTTAATGGAGTTGATGGTAGTATATGTACACAGATAAAAAGGATTTTTTGATTTGGTATTTGCAATTTAACATAAACACTTTTAATGTTGGCTGATTTTGAAGTGATTACTGAAGAAACAAATTCCTTTTTTACAGCAATTAGAGCACCACCCAAATGTTTAGCTGTACTGTTATTTTCATTTCTATCCCCTCTGTATATATGTACCATCATACAGAGAGGTCTCAGTTAATATTAGAACATCATAATCATTGGCAATAACAGATGATGAAAAATCATTTAATTTGGTGCAGAGACCTCTCACATTTTGATAATAAACAGAAATTTCCGAGTTATTCCTGCTTGATTGTCGTTTATTTTTTAGTTTTCCGAGAAGAACCTGAGTTAAAACTCTTCTCTTGAAGTTAAAAACTCTAAATGATTCCTTTGGCGAATTAGTATTGACTTTTTCTGCAGCTGTTTAGACTTAAGTATAGTTGTCAAATTTCTGGCTCTTGTTTTTTATACATCAAAGATTCTTCCAATACAATTTAAATATACTGCAGTGTCACAATGTCTCAATATAATGGTATATTCTCTCATATCTATTGTTTACTTCTAACCATTGTTTCATAGTTATGAAATCCTTGACAATTTTGTTTATTGATATAGTTGTAAGTTTTATCTGTCATTATAAACACATGTCAATAAAAACATGTTAAAAATAAATTCAACTTATCTTAGTAGTAAAATTAGTTATCAAAATATTTGTATATATTTACATTATTAGTTTGTTAATGTCGCAATATTCATTAAAATGTTACAAATTTTGATTAATCCTAACTAATAAATTTTTATCAATAAGCTGAGTTGCATGTCGCCGGTGTAAATGTTGGTTTAAATCAATAATCAATAACTACATTGCTAAAAAATAATTTATGATAATCCCACTCGTTAAATGTTGTTTATCAGAGTATTGATTATTCGTAAATAATATTGAATTGTAGATAATGTTATCATTTATAAATAATCCTCGAAATGAAATAATTTGTATCAATGTTTATCATAAATTAACTAAATGTAGGTACAAGACTCACCTCTTCTTCATCTTTTTCTTGCTGTTGTCTATTGTCCTCAGCTACTATGCTGGTTCTTTGATTTCAGAGATTATACTAAGTGGCAGATATTCGAACACCCATTATTATATTTTGTAATAAATATTTTGTACAATTATACTTCTTCTTCTTGTTTTTTTTTTTATATAGACATGACTCTGTCTGTTTTTCAATGTGTCTCTAATAAGTTGTTATTCCATCGTTTTCGTGGTCTTCCTACTGATCGTCTTCCTATTGGCGAACCGTCTCTTGCCGTCTTTACTACACTAATTGTTGACATTCGGCATATACCATTCTACTCTTCTATTTCTTACACAGTTCTTGATGTTCTCCATCTTGCCTGTACATCGTATATCTGTACTTCTAGCTCTGCCCATAGTGTCTTACCATCGATTTTGCTGAAGTGTTTTCATCTCTGCTGTTTCTAACGTCCTTTTTGTCCTCTCTGTATCAGGTCTTGTTTCTGCTGCTTATGTCATTGGTCTGATGACTGTTTTGTAAATTCTGCCTTTCGTTTCGTTCCAAATAGTTTTTTTTTGTAGATAATAAAATTTTATTTCATTATTGCCTTGTTTATAATACTCAAAATTAGTACATAAATATCAAGAAAATCCAAACCATTACAGTAATGAACATTTTGCTTAATTAGCTGATTATTTTCATTTCTGTTACCAATTTCTACCTCTTTATTGGCTAAAGTTGTCGTTTTAACCTCGTGTTAAATAAGCTCTGGTATAGCAAGCCAAAAAATAAGGAAAAAACTAACTAACCAGAAAATAAGAACACAACACTGTTGCGTTATTAAGTCATTTGATTCAGGTTGTCAGTAAGATCCAATGCTGAATTTTTCTCGAGAATTTTATAGGTATCTTCATTAACATTAAAACCTATTTAAATTAACTATATACTAATATAATATACTTTCTTACAGGTATTATTAGAAAGACAAAATACATTCCGGCCAGTGTTTGGAGCACTGTTACGGGCCAGTCGAACTGAGAGGCAGCACGCAAGCCATTTAAGGAGACTTTTGGCTGAGAACAATATTAATTATGACAAACTTAAAATCGCATATGATTCTGACCCCAAGGATGGTTTGGAGAAAGTTATTAAGAGTGAGGTAATCAAAATATTTTGCATTTTCAAAAGGGTCAATCCATACTGGTCCAATATAAATTAAGTTGGTTGCTTGACTATTTTTAATATTTTTTATTTTTCTACCAATTAAACTTCAGTTTATAGAGTATCAAAATTGCATTAATTTTTTTTTTTTAAAATATTTTGCCATTGGCAGCCATTTTTGTTTCATCGTGTTGATCATTTTCACGAAAAAAAATGACTTCATTCTTTAGCTACTATTTTCACTTAGATTTGTCCTAGAACAATAAATCAACAACCAAACTGTTTGTAAAAGTATGCTCTAAAACGTGGTCCATAGCATTATTTAATTACAAACTACCCTTAATGCCTTAATTAACATCAAAGTTTGAAGAAGTAAACTGATAAAATTCCATTTTCAGCATTTTTTAACAACATAAGGCAAGCGATAATGGTTTGTAATTTTTTTCTGAAAAAGACATACATACTTTAAATGAAAAAAGTTTGAGCTTTGAGACTTAAGTCAATTTTTTCAAAAAAAAAAACTCAAAAATGTAATTTTTTGAAAAATTTTAAAGTTTGACCCCTTATGACTCTGGTGGACAAGAGATTAAAATTCAAATAAACTGTCTAATGAAATAAAAATTAATGTATTTTCATACAAATTTATACTACATTATAGAAATATTAACCTTCATTTCATCGAGTTAGAATCTATGGAGAAGCTATGAGCATATTAACGTATGTATTAAAAACGGCATAGGTAGAGTGGCTAACGATAATACCAATATGGTGGTGACATCAGGGCCAGACTCAATAATATTAAAACTACTATACAAATATAACTAGTTATTCAGAAGATTTAATCATAATCTAAAAAAGTGCAATACATTTTTAATAAACTATGATTTACTTATCCCGCGGTTAACACTAAAAACACGATATATTATACATAAAGATAAATTAATACAGTCAAATAGTATTAATTTATTCTCTGAAGTACGGGCCATTACTTTGTTTACATATTTGTATACTAACCTGTGGAACGATATTCCTGAAGATTTTTTATTAACATTACTTCTGCCACTGCAACTACGTTGAGAACAAGAAACCATTATTATGCACTATCACAATATATTACAGTTTCTATAAAATTATTATAAAAGTGAAATTATTCAAAAAACAACAAATATAACCAAACATATACGATCTGTCAAAAGTTTCAAAACAATAATACCAATATGGCCGAAGCGAGGTCGTTTTTAGTCACGTGATGCCCTCTCCATAGATTCTAACTCGATGCTTCATTTAGAATTTTGACAGTTCAGAAGTTGGGATATTTCATCACATAAATCTTGAGATATGTTATGATTTCGTCGAGTTGCTGGTTTTAGTTCTGAGGGTCTGATTTTCTTCAAGATTCTATGAAAATACACCCAAGCTTCATCATGAGCACTTAACTTAAATGATGTTATGGGTCCAGAAGGTTAAGTACATAAAAGTCATTATGTTCAATGCTGACAGTTGTTATTACCCTTAGTCACCGCTTTCAATCATACACACAGGCTATTACATCTTATTTGTAACAAATTCTAAATATTTAGTTGACTGGGATGTTTTAAAACATTTGACTTTATTTTCTGAGATTGGTACGATTCAATGAAAAGAACTTGTGTCAGGAATTTTCAAACAAGTTTTAAATCTCTCTTCAAGTGATGCATATTGTAGAATTTTTTCACTTTCAACATAAGAATAATGAATACCTTTTAAATTCTGTGAACAGAAATCAAACATATCTTTTGCATTTAAAATTTGATTTTTACAAGTTGATTGTAAACTGATTTTAATAACTTCTTTTTTTTTTGTTGTACCGCCGATACCATCGCATGCATTTTTTCCGTGGGCTGTTGCAAAAAAGTGCCATTCCGCCTGTAGACCAAAATCTTGCTCATGATGACATATTCAGGATTTTTTTTTTATTTTTATATTGGCTACTGGCACCATCAGTAAAATAAATTACGCTTTTAACAGCTGGAGCAAGAGCTTTAAGTCTTCAATGAAATATTTCTGAAAACAGTGAACCATGGCAGTGTTGTTGTTGATAGTTACTTATGATGCATGGACTTCGGCTTTTAACAGCTCCTACATCATCATCAAAACAGTAATAAACAAATGGGTAAACTGTGGCTTGTTTGTTGACCCAATGATAGCTCTGGATCTCATCCTGCCTGACGAATGTAAAGTTTTCAGAATAATCTGCTATGGCAACAAAATCCTCTTTAGTTAGTGAGCTCTTTCAAGTTTTGAAATGATGAAGACTGTACTTTAAATACATAATAATGATATTTTAAATCTCAAGCTTTTTGTACAAGCGATCCAAAATAAACATCTTTGGGCTTTGTAATTGTTACCATTTCAGCGCTGTTATTGGTTACCCATTGTTTGTACTCAATATTATCATTATTATAAAATAGTACAAACTTGTATTCATTGTGAAATTTGGTGCAAACAAATTAATTTTTATTTCATTAGATAGTTTATTTGAATTTTAATAACTGTGCCTGCAAACGCTCAAATTGATCATTTTTGACCATTTCCTCAGGCCTGTAAATCCTATATGCCTTAAGTCTACAACTTCAAATTTTTACCCCTTATTCTACTCATTAGGAACTAACATTCAGCCAAATTTCAAATTTTTACTTGCTTGTCCATCAGAGATATAAATGCTCAAACTTTGAAATTTTTCAAAAAATTACATTTTGAAATTTTTTTTTGAAAAAATTTACTTAAGTCTCAAAGCTCAAACTTTTTTCATTTAAAGTATGTATGTATGTCTTTTCCAGAAAAAAATTACAAACCATTATCCACTTCCCTTATGTTGTTAAAATAATGCTGAAAACGGTATTTTATCAGTTTATACCTTTTCAAACTTTGAGGTTAATTTAAGGCATTAAGGGTAGTTTGTAATTCAATAATGCTCTGGACCATTTTTTTAAAGCATACTTTTCCAAACAGTTTGGTTTTTGATTTATTGTTTTAGGACAAACCTAAGTGAAAATATTGGCTAAAGAGTGAAGCCATGTTTTCCGTGAAAATGACCGACACGATGAAACAAAAATGGCCGCCATAGGCAAAATAAATTTTTTAAAAATAAAATGAATATATTGGACCACTTCGTATGGATTGACCATCATTGAAAAGTACACAAAATCTTAAATTTTAAATATGTTTACGTTTATATCTCTAGAGCTAATTATAAGAATTAAGATTCGATTACAAGATTTATCCTGGTAACTTTTCACGTTTCTTATTCGTAAATATGTTTAATCTAGGTAGCAAATGCGAAGGATAAAGATCTGGAAGAGCTGTTGGAAATCTTAGATCGTTTCTTTGATCCCGAAAAGAAAGCGATTCAGCCAAAACCCAAACCTAGCCCCCAACGTTATCCGTATCGGCGGCCAAAATTTGTAAGAAACAAAAACTCAAATTCACAGAGCAAGAACCCAAAAACAAACTCGACTGCAAACGACAATCCAACCGCCAGCGACGATTCTTCTCCTCGAAGCGAATCTGAACAACCTGCACAAGACGGGGAAGAAGCCAATTCGCCCAAGGAAGAGAAGTCGGTGGAGGCTCAATGAGTGCCTTGAAGCAGTAAGTATTTCTGATTAATCTAGTACTAACACAGAAAGTGTTCATTTATACTTCTATCTTTTCTAAATCCGTTGTCCGTCATGAATGACACTTCTGCGTTGTTACAGCACAATCAATAATTGCTTAGAAAATTCCTAATTACTAATTGAAGGGTTTCTTTCCAAATACCTTGCCCTGAAGAATGAGTTGCAACAAGCCGTATCTCTGTTCATTCCTCATAACATGGCCAAGATATTCTAGTTTGCGCTCTTTGATGGTGCTAATAATCTCGCATTCCTTTCCTATTCTACGTAGAACCTCAATATTAGTCACACGATCCACCCATAAAATTCTTAAATACGTCTGTAACACCACATCTCGAATGCCTCGAGTTTTCTTAAAGAAGCTTCGGAAAGTGTCCAGGCCTCTACTCCGTATAATAACGTAGAAAATATGTAGCATCTAATGAGAGATTTTGGTAGCAAGTGGTAAATCGTGACTTCTGAAAAGAGACTTCATCATTATGAACGCTGATCTCGCTTTTCCTATGCGTTGTTTTATTTCACTGGAGTGATCCCATTGGCTGTTAATGTTGGTACCACGGTATGTGTAGCTGTCCACTCTGTCAATTGGGTGTTGGTTAACCAAAAGCTGTGTATTTAATATTTCGTCCTTACTGACTACCATGCACTTTGTTTTCTTCATATTAAGATCAAGTCCGTGTTCTCTACTTATATCTGATATATGTGACATCATGTTTTGCAAACCGTCCAGACTATCTGCAAAAACTACTGCATCTTGTAGTTCTCCCAGCGCTTGCTCGAAGATATATTCAGAGTATATATTAAATAACACCGGGGACAGAATGCATCCTTGCCTCACTTCTTTATCTATGGGGACTGCCTGTGTCAATTGGTCATCCACTTTAATATTGGCTGTTTGGTTGTAATATAAATTATAGATGATTCTAATGTCCCTATCATCTAACCCCACTTCTTTCAAAATGTTTATAAGTTTATCATGCTTTACTTTATCAAATGCCTTTTTGTAGTCGATAAAACAAATATACACATCACAGTTAATATCCTGCATCTTTGCATAAGCACTTGGACAGCGAATAGAGCCTCTCGGGTGCCTAAGGAATCGCGGAATCCAAACTGCGTCCATGATACTTGTTCACATACATAAAGATATGAACAAAACATAATATTAAAGCTTGTTAGGCATACAGTTTTCTAAAAATTGTTTTTTGTATCATATACCAAAATAGTCTAATAGATTACTATTATCTTAATTGTTTTTATCTGCTAATTAATTACAATACAATAATACCTTGTTTTTTTTTGTTTCAGTGTGGTGAAAACCTTATGAAGATTTTTTGTTCATTTCAAGGCCAGATTAGTTCTCACAGTTACTGACTCAGCAACAGTGAATTCTCGGTGTCTAACATTTTTATTTACCGATTCACACACTGAAAGCTGTTATTTTGACATCATTAATGAATGTTAAATAGCATTTTCAACTTTTCTTTTACAGTTTAATTTTATTTTGTATAATTTTTTGTGGCAATTTTTCAAGTGTGATTGGTTTATTTTTTATTATATCGAAACATGTTTAATTTTCTTTGTGATAGTAATAGGATTATGTATTTTGTAACATTCATTCAGGATTGTTTGTTACATACCTGTTATTAATATTTGAGTTTAATAAAGTTTAATACTAATTTGTCTTAGTTTTTATAACGATTGAGTGGTATGTATTAAAAATCTGAAAATTCTTCTCTTTATAATTTTCATTTAATCCTTTTATGTGCACACAATCGCTTGTCAAATGATGAGCGTGAAAGACACTAACGAATATATTAAGACAAAATAAACAACTGATCGAATCCTAACATGCGACAAAGCAAATGAAATGGGTGGATATAACGAATATATTAAGATAGAAAAAAACAAACAAGGCGACTACCAAAAGGGCACTACACAGTGTCTTCATTATTAACCCTGTGGTGCACGGGATGGGTCTGTTGGCCCATTCAGTTTTTCTAATATCTATTAGGTCAGAGAGTCTCACATGCGGTCTAGGTACCTTTCGACGGCGTGGTCAGCTATAATCCGTCATTTGCTAATGCGTATTGAAGCGATAGTGTTGATGTTATATCTGTTTTCGTTCTCTCAGATCCAAAAGTATTTTTTTATGAAAGTACAAAACAAAATTTGCAGTGCATTGTTTTTAGAGCTTAGCAAAACAATGTATTCTTACGAGTGAGAGGAAAAACGTTTGCAATGGCTCTATGAGGAAGTTGCAACCGACGAGGAAGAAAATTAGATTCCGATGAGTCTATTGTTGGAAAATGAAGATGGTAATCATAACTCTGGGTCTGAATTCGATTTATGAGACACCGAGTTAAACTTACAAGAGTGTATTCCACAAGGTGGGTGAAACATAACACCTTTATTACAATACCAAAGATGGAATAAGTAATGAGGATCACGAAATGTTAGAACTAGACGAGAAAATATCACAAAACTTCCTGGAGTTATTCGTGAAGCACAACTAAAAAGGAATGCTGGGATCTGTTTTTTAATGACAAAATTATAAAACATATTGTTGAATGTACTAATGTATATATCGAGCGTGTGTCCGTGAGATAAAGATAGTTATGATGTGAGACTAAGAAATATATGTGAACTAAAAGCTCTGATTGGCCTACTGTACTTAGCTGGAGTTTACCGTGGAGGTAGAACTTCAATTTTTGAGTTTTGGGGAAAAAATGATACGGGCAATTTAGGCACACTACGGAAAAACAAAAGGCATATCCCAACCGACTTTTTGTTGAACAATAGACCGCCTAAATCAACTATGTTTGGATTTAGACGATGTTGTCCTAAATACCAAAACAAAAAAAACATGTTCTTTTGTCAATCCTACACCATAGTGACCAAATCGATCCGAACAGGTGACGAAAGTAAACTGAAATAATAACCTATAACTCTACAAAAGGTAGTGTGGACATGGTTGATCAACTTCGAGTTTCCTATACTGTCGCAAGGAATACAAAACGTTGGCCCATGGTCATATTTTATGGATTGCTTGATGTTGCTGCAATAAAAGCATTTGTGACATAGAACTAACAAACTGAATCTAAAAACTAGCAAAAGAAAAAGATTTTTTTTAAGAACTAGGTCTTCAGTTAGTAATGGACAATATAAAAGCTCAATCTCCTTATTTGGCACGACATATAAGAGAGCTTGGTGTTAAACCAGTACAAGCACCTGCAGAATTGCAAAATAAAAGGGGGCGTTGTGCTTTTTGTAGAGATCGTAAAACTCGATACAGGTGTCTCTATTGTAAAAAAAATATTTGCTTGAAACATTCCGTACCTGTTTGTCACATATGCATTGATAAAATGACTGAATAAGTTATATATTAGAAGGTGTTTTTTAAACATCGACCATATTGTAGTACGTAATTTCTTTTATATTTTTTGTTCTAGTATTATAATAGAAGTTTGCTTCCTTTGCCTTATCCGTTTCGGACGTTGGCTATTAACAAAGCTATTTTGACTTTGTTTACGGCACCTCTGAACAGTTTGGTCGATGTTAGTCCGAACCATTGTCGCAGGTTATGCATCGATGAGTGTCGTCTTCTTCCCGGTCCCCTCCTACTGTCGATTCTTCCTTGGACTATTAACTGTAGCAGCCGGTACTTAGTATGCCTCATGACATGTCCGAAGTACTCAAGCTTCCGTTTCTTTACGCTGAAGATTATTTCTTTGCTTTTGCCTATTCTCTGCATTACTTCCACGTTAGTGATGTGGTCTGTTCAGGATATCCGAAGAATACGGCGATATATCCACAGCTTAAGGGATTCTAATTTCTTCAGGGTGGCTTCCGTTGTGGTCCATGCCTCTGCTCCATAGCACAAGACCGGGAAGACATAACACTTGACCAGTCTTAATTTTAGTTCCATTGAGACTTAGCTCGTTCTTACGTGTATCAAAGTATCACCCGTGTACCGAAGGCTTAATGAACGTACAGTTAGAACATAAAAGATAACAGATGACACTATAGATAAAAATAGATTTATTACAAACCCTCTAACGCATACGAAACCTTTTATGAATTCAAAATTTTGAAGTGTTGTAGTATGCATCAACACCACCACCCATCGAAAGTTCTGACTACATCATAGCTAGTACTCTTACTAAGCATATGTATGTTTGGTTGCCTACCAGCCAAGAGAAAGATCGTTATAACCTCTTTTTTACGTGCCATCTCCGCGACGAAGGTTTTCAATCATCACGGCTATTCTTTTTGACAATACAGCCCGAAAGAGTTCAGTTGCGCTGCATCCAAACTATTCTCTGAGGATTCTCAGCCAGGGCATTCTTTTACCTATGCTGCGGTTTAGAAGTTAGATGCGCATTAGTTTTAAGTATTTTGGCAGCAATGATATCGATTCCATTCGATGTCAACAGTACAGTCTCATTATTTGGTGATAACGGAAGAGCGTTATTGGCTACACAAATATATGGTACAGGTTTTGGTCTTCAAGATAGTCTTCCCATTGGGAAACCGTCCTTGATGTTCTCCACCTTGCATCCACGTCGTATATCTGTACTTCTAGCACTGTCCCATAGTGTCTTACCATTAATTTTTCTAAGTGTTTTCATCTTTGCTGTTTCTAATATCCTTTTTGTCTTTTCTGTGTTAGGTCATGTTTCTGCTGCGTATGTCATGATGACTGTTTGGTAAATTCTGCTTTTCATTTCTTTCCCTATCCTGTTATTTCTCCATATTGCTTCATTCAGGCAGCCTGCGGCTGTTTGCTTTATTCATTTGATTTTCCACTTCTGTTTCGAGTTTTCTGTAGCTAGATAATGTGATGCCCAGATATTTAAACTCTATCACTCGTTCTATTATCTGGCATTCCAGCTCCAAATTACATCTTAGCAAATTTGCTATTATAACCATGCATTTTGTCTTTGTTGGGGAAATTAACATGTTAAATTTTCTGGAGGTTATATTAAATCGGTGCAGCATTAATTCATCATCTTCACTTTAAAAGAGAGTAGTATTGCGTCGTCTACATAGCAGATTATTTTAAGATAATGTCATTTAATTTGACTCGGTAAAATACCTTCTTAAGGACCACGAAAAATAGGTATGCCGCTTTATTGTATTATATGTTAAGTTATAAATCTACCTTAATATTTGTAAACCTACCTTAATATTAGTTACATGTCAAATAGAAGAAAGATGGGAGTGAAAAGAGAAACACAGATATTGAGAGTCGACAGACTGGTCTTATGGCTCTTTAAAGATAATTATGTATTAGTATTAGGTATTAGTTTGTCATGTAATAAATAATATATACAGAAATGAGTCGTCTATTATAACCAAAAACCCACAGAGTAAAACGAACATGATGTCAGAAGTAAAAGAAAGTAAGTCAAATATCGAAGAGTCATTATAATAGTTACAAAAGCCGAAACATAATCTAAGAACACGTGTTGGGGTGTTAAAAGGAAAAAGAGATTTATTATTAAAAACAGTTAGGATATAAAATGGACATGGAAGAACAATATGCTGTCGAGCAGAACCAACCAGTGGTTGTAAAAATAAAAAGTAAAGTAGTCGGCAATGAAATTCAACCTTTGTGACTGGAGGGAAACTTGGCTTACAATAAATTGGGAAGAATGGTCCATGAATTTCAAAATATTTTTGAAGGCGACAGGTTTAGAGAAGGAAAATGATGCGAGAAATGTAGCTCTACTATTACACTAGGTATATTGGTCTAGATGCAAGAAATATTTACAAGTCATTTGAGGTTAACATGAATTCTTTAAAATTTAAAGAGGTAAGAGAGAGATGTGAAAAATATAGTAACCCGAAGAAAAAATTAACAGTAAAAAGACATCTTACTAGATTACAGAAAGATGGTGAAACCATTGAGGATTTCATGACTAGTTTAAAGAATTTGAGTTTAACATGTGAATTAGGAATTTTAAAAGAAAGTTTGGTGTGTGACATATTCATTATTGGTTTAAATCTTAAACACCTTTCAATTAAGCAAAAACTATTACAAGGAGTAGATCTGAAAACAGAAAAGGTATTACAAATTGCTTAAAATATAATTACAACTCAAATTCAAGCCCAACAGTTAAATAAAAATTTAGAAGCTGTGGTATACAAAGTGGAGAAGAATTAAGATGCTCCAGGGCCCTGATTCTAATTGAGATTTAACTCAAAACATGTCGAAATTAATATGGCTTGAAATGCGACTTTGTGAGCCTGGTGGATTTCAGCTGAACTAACCAAAGGACGTCACTCATTTTCGATTTATCGAAATTAATGGACAGCAGTAGTGTGACGTCACATCTGTCATAACTTTCCAAACCAAAGTTGAAATGTCAAATCTCAAGAGTTTTTAATTTCTATAAAGTTAACATTTTGCTTCCTCTGCTACTTTTTCTTTTAAGTATGTTTTTCACGATAATACCATCACAATATAGTGTTCTATTTCTACGAAATATAGTTTAAAAGTATACATTAAAGAAAGTCTAACCTTACTTTATTGATGCATTCATTTTATTGCTATTTTTATAAAAAACATGCTTTATTATTTACACAACCTTGTAAAATTGTTGTAG